CTTTTTAGGTAATATATTAATAATTCGTTTTATTCATTTTATTATTAATATAATATAGGTTCTAAGGAGAGAGTGCCTCGATCTACTGATGCAGAATGGTTGCCTGATTGGCATAATACCACTAGAACCTATTATTACGGACACTATCGACGAAAGCACAGACCAGGGAGTAAGTGAAGACGATTTTTGTGAAAATCTTTGAGGAAAACTATTTGTGATAATGGAAATATGTTATATTTTACAAGTTAACCGAATTCTAATACCTGAATTCTAATATCAGTTTTATTTGGGTAAATGCAAAATTTGATTGATGCAACTAGTACAGAATTTTTCAGTAAGACCTTCAAAGTTCTTCTATATATCCCAGATAAGGACTATACCGAATTTGTCTTATCAGCCTCGAATAAATCACTTGGTAAAATCGTTTAACTTTATTTTTAAAATTTTGGTAGTTGAATTTGAATTAAGAACATTTTACAATATAATTAAATTAACATATATAATAAACTACCATTGTCACATAATTATTCATTTTAGTTTAATTTCCAGTATTAAAAATAAAAGAATTCAAATGGACCAAATATAAAAGTAAATGCCAAAAGTGGATGTTGCTTTTAATTACTCATTTTTGCAAACTTTTTACACAAATGTATAATTTTTTCTATCTAGTTTTCCACAAAGTATTCTCATAATCAAAATTTGTTTGTTGTTAGATTTCGCGTGTGCTAAAAATTGTGATCGTCCCGTCATTTGTTTAAATCAATTATTTGTTAGTTGTTTGTGATTTAAAAAAAATCGTTCTTGTTGACGTCTTCCTTCCTCTTGTGTGCTTTCAGTGATTTACATGTTTTCGTATTACACATCCTGTAATGGAAATATGGAAATGTTCTATTTGTTTACAGGAGGCCGCAACATAATTATTGTTTACAAAAATAATGAATCATTTCATTTCAGCCGAATAAAGCATTCATTGAATTAATTCATGGATTTATTTTGCAGACACTTCATTACCCAATTTGTTGTGAATTTAGTGAGCAATATTGTGTTTAGAAAATCCACTAATTTTATAGAAAAATACACATCAAATGGATGTTTGCAGTCGTAAAAGATTCAAAAATAAAAAGAATATGGTTGAACAACAGATTTATAAAATATGTTTGTATTTTAAATACACAGTTTTTAAACTATTGCAAAGTTACATACATATTCTTTTTACAAATCAGAATGCTTCGACAATTTTGTAGATATGTTGTTCTTAGACGTGTTAGAATCATTTTGTGAAAATTTCCAAATGCCCGATCTGTTCAATGCACTTCGATGTTCTTTGTAGAGGTGAGATTTTTACTTTTACTTTTTCAATTTTGTTAGCTTTATATTTATTTTATGCTAAATGTTGATTAAAATCTTTCAAATTTTAAATTTATTTTTAAATCAATTTTTGCATACCATTTTATTTAAATGTAACTAGTTTCCATATTATTTTACTCGTTGTTAGGTGTCTATTTTTTTTTGATTATAGTGTTGCTTTAAGTTTAAATAATGAAATTGCTTATATGTTTTACAAAACTGATATAAATTTCCAAACTTGATTTTCTTTTTTTTCTGGATTTGAAAAAAACTGCATTTTTGTTACTGCACAAGCATCCACTGTCAAATAACCACCTTATCCCCAAAATTTTATTCCTTTCGCCTTTCGGCAGCCAAGATGACCCGATAGATGCATTCGAGAAGCTCTTCTTTGCTGTTTTTGGCAGACAACACCTGATGACCTCAACTACGTCCCCGAGAGCAGACCCGAATGGACCCAAGCTTTATTCAAAATTGTTTTTGGAGTTTATATGCTCGTCAGCGTTGTAGTTCTTATAAATCTTCTCATTGCTATGATGTCTGATACATATCAACGAATACAGGTAAATTATATCAGGATTTTAATTGTTTGTTTTTGTTTTTCTCTTATTTCCGATAACTGATGATGGACTATGGATCTGGAACTGCTGGACAAAAACATGGACACATTTTACATGGAAACTCCATCGGAACTTAATTTTAACTTCTTAATTTATTATTTTACCAATTGGATTTGTTTCATCTAATAGTGACTCTAAATCCAATATCTTCATTCGAATTATTATTCTTTGCCGTTTTCGGCCAAACGACTACTGATCAAACAAGAGAACAAAGTATAAAAATACAACCAGCATGGACCATATATCTTTATAAAATTGTATTCGGAATTTACATGTTGGTGTCAGTTGTTGTACTTATCAATCTGTTGATTGCTATGATGTCGGATACCTATCAGAGAATTCAGGTAACGAGAAATAGAAATTACCTAAAATATATTGGTAAGTAAGTATAATCGAATAATTGAATCTGTTTGTTAAATTATATTACTGAATTTTTTTTATAAATTATTTCATTATACTATTTTGTTACATATTGTATTGCTTATTTGGATAAAGTAAGATAATTAGATTGTTTACTAAAAAATACCAATTAAAATCAAGCAGATAAAATTTATGATAAAAGCTTCTCAATGCTAAGCAATTATTACTATTTCGATTCTAAATTTAGGCTCAATCTGATATCGAATGGAAGTTTGGATTATCAAAACTGATTAGAAATATGCATAGGACGAGCACTGCACCTTCACCACTAAATCTTATAACCACGTGGTTTATATGGATAGTAAACGCTTGCAAGGTAACAATTCAGTAAAATAATAATAATTGTCGAAATATGAAACTACGAAATGAATGTCTTCTTTAGATGAAGATGACCAAGAAAAAGAAACCGAGTTTGATTCACATGATGAGCGGAATGCAGAGGTCGCAGGGAAGTCCGAGGACAAAAGCTGGTGCCAAATGGTTATCTAAGGTTAAGAAAGGACAAGTTGGGCCAAAAGGAGGTAATGATCTTGAATCTTCCATTATATCAACTTGCATGTTCTAGGAATGCATAATACTTAAAGAATCTCATTTCTTTACCTTTACCAGAGCCTGTGGCCTTGTCAGTTGTCCACCTGAGTCCTCTCGGATCCCAGGTGAGTTTCACGGCAAACACAATGCGCATCGAAAACGTCGCCGATTGGGAGGCAATTTCAAAAAGATACCGAACTTTGTGGGGACTTGATCCAGAAGAATCTTCTATCAAGGAATCTGAAGACACCACGTCTATGGTCACTGAAACTGCAGGACATAATAATATTAATGCTGTTAATGCTATCAATCCCATGAATGCTATCACGACGGCAACTACTTAAATGTAAAAGACTTAGGAAGAATTACCAAATTGAATCAAAGTTTTTGTCATCAGTGATTGAAGATGATTTTGGATGAAGGAGTTAAAAATTAGTAACAAATTCGATGAAAGTTTTTATTGTCAGTGATTGAGGATGAGTATTTTACCGGTGAAGTAAAAGTGTGTAGCTTACATAAAAATCAAATATTATTATTATTGTTATATCTTGAGATCAACACAAGAATATGCACGATAATAAGAAAATCAGAAAAAAGTCATATGAGCCCTGGTAACTTTATTAGATCATTTGGAAATGTATCAAGAAAACTTAACTTATTTAAGAAAAAAATTGTGACTACAATTTCTAAAAAAATTTTGGAGTCACACATACATGACTGACATGTTCCAATATTAAAACTATTAGAAACTGGAAGCTCTATATATTTTTAGCAACTAACTAATTTCAAAATTCCAGTAAATTGTCGTGTGATTGCCTAAATATTTACAAAATGAAAAAGCTGGATATACAAAAGATTTCTTTAAATTTTATAAATGGATTAATATGTATGTATATAGAGTGCGATGCTTGTTTATAAAATGAAATGAACTTGACAAAGAAATTATGCAATAAATATTAATATAAGGACTGATCATGACGAATGCAAATATTTGAGATAATTATTAAAAATTACAAGAATTATCAAGTTCAATATAATTAATTGAAAAAAACATAAGATTTTAATATCAAAAATTATAAATCTATACCCTGTTTGAAATAAATAGTAAAATAATTTGTATAAACCTTAATTTCAATATTCAAAGTAAACTCCATTAAATTAAACATATAGTAATAAGGTGTGTTAGATTTTTTATACATTTTATACTCTACTATATGTGTATAATAATGTTGTAAATTGAAATAAAAAATATTTATAGCACTTATTAATAATTTAAAGAAGTTAATAATTAAAAATAATAATTATGTTAGTTAAGCACTTGGAGCTATTGTATATAATATTAATATGCATAATTTGTAATACAGATGTGGGAAAATATATTTTTATTTATAAAATTTTTGGAGTGTTTAAATAATATTCAAAGCAGAGGTTCTAAACCATTGGATAAACTCATTTTCACCTTCAATCAATTGAAATAGACATTTCATAAAATATAAAACAATGTTGATCTTTAATTTTAGATGCAGGCTAGACAGAAAATTTATTTGAATCTTTTAAATTTCAAGCAATGAACTGAAGAAACAGAAACGTTTCCTATACAAATTATTCCAAAATTACTTCTGCAACTATAATTTGTAATCATTTTTATAGTACATAACATATGTAATTCTTGAATCGACTAAATCGGCAAGAATTTTCAGTTGATGTAAGATTTTTGATGGCAAAAGTATTTTCTTCCACAAAATTAATAAAAATATCTAATTTAGTTATTTCAAATTAGATAAAAGAAACGAATAAACTAGGTGCAGCTGGCATTTACCAAATGTCAAATTTCAATTTTTATACACACATCATTTTAAATTTTGAAGTCAAACGATTCAGAAGTTCTTGAAACATCGAGACAATATACAATTATCATTTCGAAATCCATGAACATCTCTTTCAAAAAGTTAATAATTAATTATCATACGAAATTAATTATAATTTACACTACTGGAATTTTTTTAACGATAAAAATAAAAGTATGGATATAAAACAATTTTATCTAGCGCGTGTCTTACGGACCCACCAACAATCTCTGTGTATTTTTCCTCGCATAAATTAAAAGTATCTAAATAAAAATAGATAAAACAATTAATCTAAAAATATCACCGTTGTATGCTAAATGCAAACAATTAGCAAGTAATTCACAATATTCTTTGCATTGCACCAAGTTGCGCACGATTATTAATTTCATTAACAAATGTGACGGGAACAAGAACACATATATTGTATAAGATATTTAGTAAAGTATAAAAAGTTGAGGGAGGTCAAAATTAATTTTATCAGTGAATTGTGATAAAAGTGATACTAAAATATTATCGTGATAGAGATTTTATCGTGAAACAGATATGTTTGTAAATTATTCTGAAAACGGTGAAGAAAAGCTGAATGGGAGGCATTCTAAAAGCAATGGGATATGTAATGATACAGGTGAGGGAAAATTTTTATTGACTAGGTGTAAGTGGCATTTAGTCGTAATGAAAGATGCATAAACCAACTGTAACTTGGTGTAACTTTTCAGATTGTAAAGATCAAATATTCATGAATCTTGAAAATATAGTTTGAATGCCAAACTTTTCGCCCTGAATTCCAATGGATTTGTTCCAAACAAACTTGCAATATCTACAATTGATTAATTAAAATTAATTGCATACATAAAAAAATATTAATATTAAAACAAAATCATTTTTGGAATTTTTTATATATAATTTGATCTAAATGCAAACTTGGTGTAAGTGGCATTTTCTCTTAATGAAGTTGCATCATCTCTTCGATGTGTATATATGTATTGTGATAAGAAAACATTTGACTATTTATTACCAAACTTTGATAAATTTTTAAATGTTTCCTAAGTACATGAATTCTATCACTATGCAATTAAAATTGTCAAATTATTGTTTTTCAAGACTCAAATAATTAGCTTGATTTCCAACTGATATCTTTCGAACAGTTTCTTAATTTTCAAAATCGGTTAAGAATTTTGCCGAAAACGTTGACAAAAAAATTATAATTTGTTTTTTGAATATGTTTAAAACTTTTCCTAGTAAGTCACATGTTGTTATATTATATTTATATAATGAATTAAAGTTAAAATTTTAAGGAAACCTCAAATCAAGAAAACCTAATGCATATGTCACGTATATGACTGATCTGGCTTTATATTAAAACTTTTTTTTGTTCCTTCTACAAATTCACATATGTCAGACATATGATTGACGTGTTAAATATTATTTCCACAAAAATATGTATTTGTTTATAGAAATCGTGGATCATAAAATTATTATCATCATTATTATTATGCATTAATAAAAAATACTTTTATACAAATAATTCCTACAAATACAAGCAATTTAACATTAATTTAATAATCAAATTTATAAACCAAGACAAAACAAGATTTATCAGAATGCAGGCACATGTTAATATTTACAAACATTGTATGTCAATTACGCAATTTTTCTTGGTTCACCGAAAAATACTGAAAGCTCGAGCAAAAAGTGTTTAATCTAATTTACGACCAATAGAGATTAACGTCGGAAATTTTGTATTTTAATAATTCCAAGAGAATTTTGATGATAAAATATGTATTGCTACATATTAAATTATCCTGTATGATTTTTATGTATTGGTGGCAAAGATCGCCGATAAATTACTGGTAAAATTATTAAGCACATGTGTAATATTATTGACAAATGGTATTTAAATATTTGAGATATGTGATTAAGTAGCACAAACATATTTTTTTAAAAGATAGTAATGGATATTTATTAGAATTTATTGGCTGAAACCAGCTAAATTCAGCTGAATCTAAAATGCCATAGAAAATTATATGCAATTAAACAAGAGACTCTTTTGCAAGGTTATCAATTTATAATATATATACCAAAGATCTCTAGGGTTCATTAAGAAAATTAGTCGTAAATTTTTTATTACGACAAACTTCATTGAAATTCTTTATAATAGTTTGATATAAATTTTGAATTTTTTGAAAAAAAAAAAATGTTAAAAATGCACACACTATGAATCAATTGCATTTTCAAAATTTGACTGATTATTTTTTATTTAATTAATACTTTTACTTAATTACTCTACAAATATTTATTTAGAATATGATTATTCTACCACAAGATATTTACGACTCGATTGGGGGTCATTGATACGATGGACGATGTTTTGAATAATATAGTTTTGGTTTGATTAAAAGTGTAATTATTGTTTGAAAGACATTGTAAACAATCATAGATTACTTACTTAATGATAAAATTGACATTATCTTTTAATTAACTAATAATCTTATGTAACTGAATATTTTTTTTAAATACATGCTCAAAATTTGACTCGTAGTAATAATATAAATGGAAATTGATTAATAATAGTATTGATATTGATGAATATTATAAAATGATAATTTAATATATTGGTTTAATTTTAAATTGTCAGCATATTTATTAAAAGCAATTGAACTGAGGAACATAATTGATCTAAATAATTAAGATTGAATTTCTACTCATCTATCGTTCTGTATTGAAAATTTGTATGATTTCTGCCATACGTATATTATCAAACTCTGGATAATCAAGTTAAAGATAATTGTTGAGAACACGAAAATCCTTTGTTGATCATTATTATTTTTTTTAAAGTATTTTGGTGACATCTGAAACATCATGGCATTTTGTAGATTACTAATTTCTAAAAATTCTATTGATCTGGATAAGGACAACAAATTGCCATCTCAATTTCTAAGTCAAAACCAATACCACTGCTGATTGACATCATGCTGTCCACAGCTCCAACTATTGCCTCAATGATCAATTCAGAAGTTTTTTGTGTTTTACTATTAAAATTTTGGATTGAACCCTAGTAAAGAAAGTTTGTTAACAAATTTTAAAGCTTTCACGAGGCACCACAAATTATTAAGTCTTGGGCATTAATACATTATTATATTAGTATACCCCAATTTTTTAAAAATCGTGGTCACTACTTTCTATAGTTCTTTCCAATTAATGAATGAAATAACTCCAACACTACTACAAAATAATATTTTATAAATTAGCTATCATGATGTCATTTATCATTCTCTGGAATGATCTGGATGTTGTTTTGTGGTCGATATCTCATATCGATTGTTCTTTGCACATCAATACAATTAATGATTTTTTTTCTATTTATCGTTTTCTCATATTGAAGAGAATATTCGTATATTACACATATTGTTGTAATGCATGATTTCTATAAGAAGTAAATAGATTTTTTTTGTCTGAGATAAGAGTCAGACCTCGGTAGTGTCTTTCGAACGATGGGTCAAGTAAACATTGCTAATCTTCTTTCGATTTCGGACTATGTAGTTGGGAATGGATTTATTTCATAATAAAATAAAAGATAAAATTATGTTACTATATAGATAGCACAATTACACATCAAGTGGTATATATGCTGGTAGTTTATACCAAAAAGTTTATTTAGACCAGAATAAAAAATATACAGTTGACAATTTCATCTAAATAGCTAAATCTCACTTCTCATTGATTAAGGCTATTATTTATACCTATCAGGAAGTGCATAAAACTTGCCTTAAGGCAAAATGCCTTTTACACCTAGATTTTTTCCATTTTCGCAAAATTTGTACCTATTTGCCTATTACCCCACTTCATCTATAATTTTATTCTCCTCTAATTTATATATAGAACCATATCTTTCCGAGACAAATTAATTGATAAAGTCGCACGTTTAATTATCTAATAATCAAAATGCAAACACATCTGATGTTGATTTGATTATGCAATATAAATTTAAATTTATTGCATGTTTACAAATGGAAATTTACATTAATACAGTTTCATCACAACTGTGTTTAGGATGACAATTTTATCCTATATACATGCAATTGTGCTAATTGTGAAAATTAGCACAAAACGATTGTCAAGGTTGGAAATAGAGATTTGAGTCTCCACTATAGAAAAATTAAATTAAATATTTGCATTGAAAATTGTGAAAACTGTAATAACCATTATTCGAACTAAATATATTAAGATTGTAATGAATTAAAATTTTATAACAAACTCCTCTTTTTCTTGTTTTGACTCCAAGTACCAGTACCAATAAATTGTATGCTGATTTATAATTTATACTCCTACTTTCAGTAATGTAGAGATGTCAATTTATCGATATTGGAATACATTCACCAGGCGATTATGTGCAAAATCTTTGGTGTTACCTAAAAATCTGCATTTTTTCACTTTGGCTTTGGCAGATTTTTCGGATATATTTGTGATAAAATATTTGTCTTTGTAAAAAAATTCAAAATATACAATTGGCGCAAGGAATCTCCTATATAATTTATATTATGAGTTTGAAATCTGAAATCTTTCTCGATAGCAAGGTACTTCTGTACAAAAGTATCATAGTGCCCATTTGGACTTATGGAATCGAACTATGGGGTTGCTCTTGCAAATCTAACATAAACATCATTCAAAGGTGCCAGAACAAAATTCTGCATAACTGCGTTTTTTCATTTTATATTCAATTTATTGCATTTTTTGTATTTTTGTATTTTTTTGCTCATATCAATTTTGTAAATAAGACATTAAATCTTGATTAACAAAAATAAATTGTAACAAAAAAAATTATGAGTTTCAGAAATTTAGAAACTTTTACTTTTTAGTTAAATTTAACATCAAAAAAGGCAAGTTTCTAGAAAAAGAGATTTTAAGAATAAATCCATGAAATTTCTATTAAACACTATCCTTCAACTATTTGCACAATCTTCACTCCTACCAAAGTATCTGTACTTCAGAATGATATGTCTATTAGTATTTTAACATATATTAGTGATAAGACTTTTGTCTTTGTAACAAATACAATCAAATAATTCACGCAATAAATAAATAAAACAAATCATATTACTAACACAAAGATACAGAGCAGACGCCGGGACGATTACAATATTTAACTAAGATTTGTGATCATCAGTGCTGCACTAGATCACGAGAGTTCACATAGTGCGTATTCAGAAAGTGAATTTGTCCCGAATTTTTGGGAAAAAGTAGTAACAGACACAGCCAAAATATTTTTTAGAGTCTTGGTAACCCGACAACCAACAAACACACCATTTGTTTTAGAACCAACTCAATTAGTCAGTGCCCAATAAAAATTTTGTTGATTTTTCCAAAAGTGTCCATTTATCCTTTTTGGTGAAAGTTTTGTGTCAACTGTGTGACAACACCAGGGTGCTCCCAAAACTTTGTTCAAAGTGAACTTTTACCATTCTAGAAAAATCTCTATCCATTACTACCAATTGTGCTCATTGATACGTTGTCAATCAATCTATCATCGGTTATCGATTCGAATCGTCTCGATGCATTTATTTGCACCGGCAATTCAGTGTCAATAAAGAACACGTGTTGTAGACTATTTCTTTCCTGAATTTTCGTGTAATAGAAGTTTTGGAATCTGCTTAGGTTGGCGTAGGACGAGAATGTCCGATGATGGGGGTGGTCTTGTGTCTAAGGGAAGTATGATCGTGGTGTCGAATCGCTTGCCCTTCGTTCTGGTCAGGAATCAGAAGACTGGAGCTTTGGAGAGGAAAGCCAGGTAAGAAAAGTAGATACTGTTTTTTTTATTTTAGAACCTAAAATAGCACTGCGTTCTTGAAGATGGCAACCCAGGCAACCCAATGGTTGTCTGCAAATTTGCTAAATTTTTATCAGATTTTTTCTTTTGAGTGCGCAATGCAGAATGAGATATTTCAACTTGGAATGATTTTTTTATTGTCAACTATGGTTTCTGGTTATTTAGATTCAACCATCAGAATTGATTAGAATTTCATATTTTTTGTATATATATAAGTTTATTTAAAAAAATGTAAAAAAAGATTTATTAGAGACTAATTTGTTTCCCGGCAGAATTTAGTACTAGTTTACTATTAACAAAATAGTACTAATTTGCACAATTTTTAATTATAAATAAAATTTATAATTAAATTATAAATATTTATTTTGTTATTTTTTTAGTTTTCTTTAGTATACCAATATTCTATGTTAAACGTTTTATTTTAATATATATTTCTTTTAAGATTTCAAATTAATCTTGAAAAATGTTAAAAGTTGACTACTCAAATCACCTTAGCTGGGTTAGGAATGATAAGATTATTTATTTACAAATATGTATTTATTAAAAATTTCAAGTAGTTATTGTGACTATATCTTATCAAAAACAAAAGTTATTTAGCACTTATAAAATAATTCAGAATATATTGATAAACTAGTCTGATCGATAAAAACAAGTCTGCAGAAGTTTCATAGTATAAACTAAAATAATATATATATATTTGATTTATTAAATTTGCAGAAATTCGATATTGTTTTTGCAAATAGTATTTTTAAATTGATGATTCAAAAAAATAGTTTTCTATTCCTTGAGAAATTAAACTTTACGCATATAAAAGAACTTTTTTCATAAAATAGCAATCAACATTTTAAAATTTCTAATATATTAGATTAATTTATTGATCGATTAGGAAAATAACTCTTCAATTTTCTATCATATCATTCAAACTAAATGGAAATTTTATAGTTACATTCATATTAGTTACTTAACACGATTCCTGATAAGTGATATCATGTGCTAAATTTTTATTTTAAGTATTTGCACTCACGTATCATAAATTTAAAATATTATATGATAGTACATACATATAAGTAAACATTGCTAGAGTATCATGTTTGTGATATATGATATAATAATAATTTTATGTTAATTTTTTTTAAATATTTTTATATCCACATTGCTAGAAAAATTAGGTAAAGCTCAGTATAAACCGCCCTTAATTTTTTTAATAAAATCACATGTAACATTTAGTAGATCTAGACTTCTTTTTATATTTCTGGAAACACTTTGAATATCTTTTCATTTATTCTTTTATAGAAATGATTTTATTAATTTTTTTCATTTATATTTTAGTGCTGGAGGTTTAGTAACAGCAGTATCTCCAGTAGTAATAAAAGGACGAGGTGTATGGGTAGGATGGCCCGGAATTCATTTGGACAATCCGGATGAAAAAATTCCGGAGTCCGATCCTGATGATAAAACACCTACTGCAGGATTACTTTCAAAAAAGGTAAAATAATAATATATATTCTATATTTATTTTTGGACAAATCCGTCAACTAGAATTGAAAGGAATAGGTCCTTCTAAATTTTCTCTGAATTTCTTATACGAAATGTTGCAAGTCACCCTTAAGAAGTTCGTTCAATAGTTTGTTATTAAACAATTATAAGAATCCTAAGTTTGTTTAAAAAATTATAATAAACTATAGTTTTCAATAGACTTAACTGAGCTGATTCACTTTTTTACAAGAAAATCGAACACAACTCCTACAAAGTAGAATATTTGGACAATTCTTAGAAAAATTTTATGCAGACATCGAACAATTTCTAAATCATTTCATTTACAATTGCATTGTAAATATTTCCGTTGTATCATCATTTTGCACTACTGTTTTTGAGAAAATCCAGCAAAATTTCTATAAGGAAAAAAAAAATTCAGAAAAAATTATATGAAGGTACATACCATATAAAAATTATAGCCTCATTCATAATTTTATTGTAAATCGTTTTGCTCATTCTTTAAAGGTACGACCAACCGTTTTCGATGAAATCTTGGAAATCTGGCAGAACAAAATATTTAAAATGTTGGCAAGTACATATAAATATTCGCAATTTTTTGGAACCCAAATTTATTTATATCTGTCAATTTCTAATCATCTCGATTGAGGTTTTATTTTAAGATGTCCTTTTTCTTAAATTAGGAAATTTGGTTGCTCATTCGATATCGCCCCAGAATATATGCCAGATAAATAGCTAGATGTTTTTGTTAGCTTTAGGTAATCTATTATCCCAGATTATACAATAATGCTTTTATCTCGGATCCAAAGTTGTTAAAACTAGTTCAGTATCGTTATCATGTGAAATACGTATGTTTGTGTTCCACACGTCGATTCGAATCGAAAAAATCGTTTTTGAAATAGTATAAATGACAAAACTTGTCACGTACGCGGGTGTAAACAATTCTGATTATAAATTCTTAATAAACTAATACTGTTGTAAATTGTATAGAATTTACTGATAACGAGTGAATCGTTTGTAAGTTTGCTAAGTGTCCTAATGTATTGTTCGGAAGCGAATGTCATAGGTCAGTGACGAATTGTTGAGATACTACTTTTGTAGCAATGACATCGCAGGAATGACATTTAGTTTGCTTAATCTTAATAAATTACTAAGAAATCATCTGCAACAAATTGATTCATTAGATAAAATTATTTGGGCAAATATGCCTTCTAACTGAATTGTTCAGGACGGGCAGCTAGAACGCCCTTTTGCATACCGTTCTCGTAGGGCAGGGTGGACTACGACTTCAATAAATTATGAAAAGTTAATAATTTTGAATAGTTTTTCAAAGAAGTTCTATGAAATCTAATATCTATTGATAAATATTTTTGATCTTAAAATAATCGCCTAATTTTCTATCATTCAATTATTTTTTATGAATAATTGAACAACTTATTTATTTTTCTCATGGGACAATAAAATTTCAAGTGGATCCTTTTGACTATCAACCTTGTTTATACAAAGTTTCATCAAAATCCTGCATGAACAAACTTAAGGTTCTCCTTGTTAGCTTATGTTGACCTTAAATATTTTTTTAAAAATTTGGAAGAGTTCTAATATAAGAAACTATGAATGTTTAGAAATTTTTGATTCGCCAATTCACTTAGTTATTACTAGTCTTGATAATTTTTCCCAGAAATTGATACTATCATCAGAAAAAATGTATAAAATTACGTACACTACTTTTTTATGGATATACATGAATATATCTTTCTCAAAATTTGTTTTTAATAGACATTAATAGACTTTACATAATATAGCTGTATCTATCAAAACTTTTTAAATAACCATTTATATTTATACCTTATTTTCAGTGTTAATCCCACTTTTACCTATAAATAAAAATGAAATAAATACGAAAAATATATCTAATTTTCCTAAAATTTATTAAATGATTACTTATAATTATAATTTGCTTATAATGTTATTTCTAATTAATAAAGTTACTTTTAGCATAAAAGAATATAAAAAGTAACGTATCTTCTATCCTGAATTATATGAAATTAATCGACCTGAGCTTCATGAAAATACTTTAATGATTACTTAACTACAATATATATATATATATATATATATATATATATATATATAATTGTAATTTTGTTAAATTCAGTCGTTTTTAAACAATTATTATCAGATCTGATATTCATTTTTCAATTGCGCAATTCTGCGTACTAAATATTCCTTCAGCTTAGTAACTGTAATGTATTTTAATCATTATCAGTTTTAAATTTTTCTCAAAATAAATTTTGTTTTTTCTGCTTTTATAAAGTTTACCGACTCTAACTTTATCGATTAAAAATTAGGTCAAATTCAAGAAAATGATAAGTTAAACGATAAACTAATTAATTATAATGTGACAACAAAGTCGCGTGCTCTGTAATAAAATTATATTAATAGAAGAATATTTTTTTGCACATTTTGGATATTATCAACTATCAACTGAAGTAAATTTCTCAATGATAAAATAATAGTCATCAAACTAAATTAGTATCGGGTTTGATCCTAACGTCGGCCAGCTCGATATCAAGCAGTATGATAAATTTTCACTTGAAGTTAAAAGTCTCAAATACAATCCTAATTGCAAATCGCCTTTCGTGGGCATTGCTGCAACAATATATATATACGCCAATTGACAATATTTTTTTATTCCTCAGGTTGTGGCGGTCCACGTAGACCGCGACATTTTCGATTCCTACTACAATGGCTGTTGCAATGGAACCTTTTGGCCTCTTTTTCATTCCATGCCAGATAGAGCCACTTTCTGCGCAGACCATTGGGTATCCTATGTTCGTGTCAACCAAGAATTTGCAGCAAAAACTGTCAAAGCCTTAGAAATTCTAAGAGAAGAAACTGGAAATGGTGTCCATACCAATGGAAATGGCTCAGAAAATGGTCATACTAATGGGCATTCTCATAGAGGTGCTCCACTTGTGTGGATTCATGATTATCATTTGATGTTGGCTGCCAATTGGTTGAGGCAGGCAAGTAATAAAATAATATTTTTAATTTTACAATTTGTAAGAAGACATTATTTTTGTTATTAAAATATTGGTATAAAATTCAGGCAGCTGAAGAAAATGATTTGCCATGCAAACTAGGCTTCTTCCTACACATTCCATTCCCACCATGGGATATCTTCAGACTTTTTCCTTGGTCAGATGAAATTTTGCAAGGAATGCTGGGTAAATTCATTATTCTAATTATAATATATATCCATATATGCATATATTATTCAATATTACTTTTTCTTAGGTTGTGACATGATAGGTTTCCACATCCAAGATTATTGTCTAAACTTCGTCGATTGTTGCCAAAGAAATTTAGGTTGCAGAGTTGACCGTAAAAATTTGTTGGTAGAACACGGAGGCAGAACTGTTCGTATTCGTCCTTTGCCAATTGGCATTCCTTTCGAAAGATTTGTCACACTTGCTGAAACTGCTCCTACGTTGATGCAGACGAATCCAAGAATCGTTTTAGGAGTTGATAGATTAGATTATACGAAGGGACTTGTGAATAGATTGAAAGCCTTCGAAATGCTGATGGAGAAGTATCCCGAGCACCAGGAAAAGGTATGAAATCGAAGCATTTATTTGCAAATGTATGTTGTGTGTATTTGAACCAAAGATTGGCCTTGCATTGAAGACAAATTGCCATTTTCACCTAGTCAGCATAAGTGCTCAAAAAAACATTCGTCACGTGCATGTCGAAATTATTTGATCCAGAAATAAATCAATTATAAATAGCAGAATTAAAATTGCGTAATTGAGCGCACACATAAAACTGTTATCATCTTCTAGAAGGAAGTCATGTGTGCGATTTTAATTAGGGTAGACTTCTCTTATCAGTTCCTTCAAGTTTAAAGGGGTTATCGTACTGTGTATACTATCTATATCTCATATGGATTAATAACAACATAAGGATTCACAATAGTTATCAACTTGGCTAATGTAAATAAAATTTCGCCTTGAGAAAACTGCAAACGACATGATATGGATTACAGACACATGCAAAGTTATCGATTGAATATAGACAATTGTGGGATACAATATAAAAATTTACTAACAATTTATAAATATCAAACAAATTTTAAACGCTTTGGTCTTTTTACCTTTATATAGGTTGTGCTTTTACAAATTGCTGTGCCATCAAGAACTGATGTAAGAGAATATCAAGATTTGAAAGAAGAAATGGATCAACTTGTTGGAAGAATCAATGGTCGCTTCACGACGCCCAATTGGTCGCCAATCCGGTAAATAATTTATTTACACATTGATAGTTTATAATAACAAAACAGAGAATTTTTTTATAAAGTTTTGAATTTTTCCTAGATATATTTATGGTTGCGTTGGCCAGGATAAGTTGGCAGCTTTCTATCGAGATGCAGCAGTGGCTTTAGTAACTCCATTGAGAGATGGAATGAATTTAGTGGCTAAAGAGTTTGTGGCTTGCCAAATCCGGAGGCCGCCCGGAGTTTTAGTAGTATCACCTTTCGCCGGAGCTGGAGAAATGATGCATGAAGCACTCGTTTGCAATCCTTATGAAATAGACGAAGCTGCTAGAGTAATTCACAGGTATTATAGATATCAAATAGCTTATTATTGTTGAAGTTACAATTATTCTAAAAATTTAGAGCCTTGACGATGCCTGAAGATGAAAGAACAATGAGAATGAACCATCTGCGTAGAAGAGAAAAAGTTCATGATGTCAACCATTGGATGAGATCATTCCTCAAAGCAATGGACTCTTTAGAGGAAGAACGTGATGAAGTTGGAGCTACTACCATGCAACCAGTCACCATAGATGATTTTGACGATTACTTGTCAAAGTAATAAAAACAAAGCAGCAAAATAAATTTTAGTAATGCAAAAGTTCACATTTTTATTTCTATTATCCTGTTAGGTATATTGGTGCCAATGACAAATTAGCATTGCTCCTGGATTACGATGGTACTTTGGCTCCAATTGCTCCCCATCCAGATTTGGCAACACTTCCACCTGAAACCAAGCACGTGATCCAACGTCTATCCAACATGCCCGATGTGTATGTCGCTATAGTTTCAGGACGTAATGTGGAAAATGTAAAACAGATGGTTGGAATAGAAGGCATAACCTATGCAGGAAACCATGGTCTAGAAATTCTACATCCTGATGGAAGTATGTTTGTTCATCCAATGCCTATTGAATATGAGAAGAAAGTAAGCAACTTGCTGCAGTCTTTACAAGAACAGGTAAAGTAACTAGATCGAAATGCCTGGGATAGAAATGGTTTATGTTTCAAGTAAATATTTTCACAGGTGTGTAGAGATGGCGCTTGGGTTGAAAATAAAGGTGCAATGCTTACATTCCATTATCGAGAAACTCCACTTTATGCTAGGCAGAGTATGATTCAACAAGCAAGACAGTTGATCGAGAAGTCTGGATTCACTGCTGCAAATGCCCATTGTGCTATAGAAGCGAAACCACCAGTTCAATGGAACAAAGGTAAAAATTGATCCAGTTTGATTTCAATTTTATTATTTTTTTTTCTTATTCTATATGAATACTATTTTAAATTGAGTATTGACAAAAATAATTTATTTAATTATTTTCATCAGGTCGTGCATCAATTTACATTTTGCGAACTGCTTTTGGTGTAGATTGGAGCGAAAGAATTAAAATTATATATGCAGGAGATGATGTTACTGATGAAGATGCCATGCAGGTATATAAAAAATTATAGTTTTGAAATAAATGTGTAATTGACTTTTCTAATCCCATTTTCAATTCTTGCAAATTCCACAATCCTGCTCCAATTTACATTATCTTCTAAAAATCGATTTTTTATAAAGATCTAGTTCTCAAGTTAAGTCAATTTTCTCCATTTCCAGGCCCTGAAGGGTATGGCTGCTACTTTCCGAGTGGCATCATCAAACATCATCAAAACCTCTGCTGAACGTCGATTGCCTTCTACAGATTCAGTAGTTACAATGTTAAAATGGGTCGAAAGACATTTTAATAAACGTAAACCAAGAAATAATTCTATAACCTACAAATTGAAGAAACAGGATAGTGTCAAAATGCATATGTCTTTTGATTGCAAACCATATCACAACAGCAGTTCGGATGAAAATGCTTGAAAAAATTACTTTGAACTGCAGCTCTCTAAATGTTATGTATTTAAAAAACAGCCAATCATTTGCAAGTATATTATATTGATATTTCACAAATAATAAGGATCTGATACGTACGTAAAAGTAATATAAGATGCCATGAATATTTTTTACATTCATAGAAATCGATTCAAAATTAAACTGAATCAAAAATTAGGAAGTAATTTGCTATTTTTTATTATAAGCTATTATTGAGAAATATTTTTCAATAACGAATTTTAACTAAATGCAAATATGTTCAATTTTATTACTCAATCAATAATTTATTTAACTGTGTTTTAAACTATGATGTGTTTAGTATATTTTAGATTTATTTGATAAATATCACTTAGAACTTTCTTATATATTTTCTTTGATAAATCAAAGCAAAAAAATAGTATAAAATTACAGAAACGAAAAAATTTAAAAAATAGTAATAAATGAACGAAATTTTCATTATTGACGGTTATTCATTAATAATTGTTTATTACAATTTTGAAATTAAATATCAGTTTAATTTCTTTGAAAAAGTATTTACTGTTTGTTTATCAGTCCATTCATTACCAATATGAATAATCCAATATATTTTATATATCAAAATATTAATTTTATTTTATATATACAAATATGTGCAAAACTATAATAACCAAAAAATATTTCTTTATTAGTTTTAGATCCACAATAACATCAAATTTATAGATTCTTTATCAATATATCGATATAAAATTTGTGTCAAAGCATTGAAAAAGTCTGATATAGTATATTTTTAGCCAATTTTCTCGTTATAAATCTAATTTATCATGTCGTGTCAATGATTTATATACAAAAACATTTATATGAATTCAGTATATATATACAACTGTTTTGTAGCTAATTAGATCGTATAATTAATTTCATGTGCCATTGAGATTACAACCATTTTTATCATTTATTTGTATATAGTTGTTAAATCATTTATATTCCATTTCATTGTAAATTAAATATTTGTTATTTATGTACATTCATTTTTTTAAAACGAATAAAAGGAATATTCAAAGCAAACACTTTTTTATTTACTTAATAGATAATCAGTTCGGAAACGTACTGATTACTTTTAGATAAAGATCGACTGGGCAGTTTCTTTGTAATTATTTGTTAAATTAATTATGATAATAGAGTATATAATCTTAATAAATCAGGACAACTAAAATACTTCAATTTTTAATATTTTTTGCTAAAGTTTGTATCCATCAAATTTTTAAATTTGCATCGTCACAATTTCAATTTTCTTTAAATCCTAATTCTTATTTGTTAGAGCCGATTATTTGACATATAGTAAAGTACCTGCAACTTGCCTTCAGGCAAAATTCCACTCACACATAGTTTTTATTAATATCAACATCGATTATTATTTTGAAATTTAATAACGCCAACTTCACTACACATAGAGTAGTTTTTGAAACAAATGAAAAATATTAAATTGGCACAACAAATTAAAATTATCAATATCTGTTTTTCACTAAACGTCTTAAATTACACATTTATGTATGAAATCGCCTAAAAAGGGAAAATAGTTGTTACAAAAAATTTCGAATGTGCGCTACAGCAAAAAAATCGGTAATTGTCAAAAATGGACGAAATATTTTTTGAGGATATTCATCAGCAATTTGAGAACACAAAAGCTTTGATTAAGGAAAAAGGAGTCAATATACCAATAGGTAATATTCATATGATTAATTAAATATAATCCATTATTATTCGAATTGCAATTATTATTATATTTCAATTTCAACTTGCAATCTAAATTTCTACTTAAATTTTGGAGGTTATGAAAATTTATTCCAAGTGTCAAATCGTCAATCGTTTGTTATTGATCACGTGATTTTATTTAACTTAGATATTTTACCAAATAGATGTATATGACATGCATTTATGAAAATTGTTTCATACCAGGCCCAATAGTATGAGATATGAAAATAGTATGTCAATTAAAAAAATGCTCTGTAATTTTGTTTACCAAGTTTATGTAGCTTCAAGCTCCTTGGTTCATCCAGCACACCCGATATACAAATTTGCAAATTATCTTGAACAATCCTATTTTTTTTACTAATTTAGTAATATTTTTAACAACTTTCATTTATCAGCGGATGGTCCAGAAGGTGTCCAGGTCGCCAAACTAGCCTGGAGCAAACATGAAGTCAAAGAAATGTTTGATGCCATGACTGGACGCCTGGTTGCCCGATTGCAAGGCATGACACCAAAGGATAATCATTATTGCAGGCTGTTAGGAATGCAGGTAATTTGGAAAATTTGTTCTCAATATATATATTATTCATTATCATGATTTATTTCTCCTTATAATTTTTTTTTATCTAGGCGGCATTACTTTACGAGGAAGCAAAACTACTGACCACCCTTATGGATTCTGCAGGAGCCTCTTCAACCTTAGAAACAGCCTTGCAGATGATCAGGCCCCACCAAATGCGAATCGAAGTCATATTTCTAATTTTACGAATAATGAATCATTATGCCTACCTCTTAATTTCGAAGAATAAACCTAGACTACGCCCAGGTAATAAATAATAATTGATATTGAATGATCAAATTTGATATTATTAATAAATGAATTAAAGTTGTTTTGATTTTCCAGGCTTTGTTACAAGAAGCTGAGAATATATACAACAGATTGCACATGAGTGGAAATCTGCGTCGCTTTTTTATAACACAGATGATTTGTTTTCGAGCGAAGTGGATGCTGAGGCACATCTTTCCATAAGTGGAAAAGTTGGAAAAATTAGCTACAAACAACATGCAAATGCTTGGGTAAATATAAAAAATATATCATGCTTGTTGGATACTAAAATTATTTATTACAGATACATATATCATAAACGTGGTATGATTGACAAATTCGTAATATACCATCATTGCGTCTTAAATCGTCATTTGGAGTTACAAGATCATGATCCACTAGGATGGGCATCAAAAGCTGAACGACTGGCGCATTATTTCTTAAGGGAACGTCGATTTATGTAAGTAAAGTAGATAAAATATTGATGCACATTTTCATGCATTTAACATGCAAGTAACTTTCTTGATTCACCACTTTTGGCTAACTATTTTTTTCCTCAAAGGGATGCAAGACATCATTTAATGGCTGCATGGACTGTTGTAAATAGATTAGAAAGGATCACGAAATCGAGAAAACCAACAGATCACAACTTGGCAGCTTTGTCTAAAATAGATTACACCTATAGCCGCCTGGCTACTTCGTGGGTTAGATATGGAAATGAATTATTTGCATATTCACGACTTGCACTGCTGAGGTACAACAGAAAATAACATTTACCAAAACTCGAAAATTAATGTACCACGAATATTTAAAATTTTATATAATTTTCTTTTTATTATTTTTAAAGAGCCCTAGGCAGAGGTGCTGACGAGGCTATATGGGGCGTACGTTTGCCCATGCATACTGCTGCAGATTATGCTTCAGCTGATGTTGCCGCAATGACAAATGCTGCAGTCGCAGCAGCAAATGCTGCAAACGGCCAAGCAACAGTTAATGAAGAAGAATCGGGTAAAAATTTAAATCTTAGGTCATAAAACTAATAATGTATGTTTGCAAATCATTGTCGCGACTGATAGGCAATAAATAAAAGCAATAACATTATTGATAGAAGTATTTCAAAATGATTCTATAATATTTTTTTTATCAATTACTATAGCTACAGTCATACCTGGATGTTGCGAAGCCTGCTCTGAAGTAAGTTTGCCTCCACCTCGTATTTCTGGTCTAAGTATAGCTCCACACAACAGCCTGGATGCATTTGGCATGTATGCAACTCCTGATTGTGGCCTTTCAGATGATCCAAGTGTTTTAGAGGATATCATGTCCTATCAGTCGACCAATATTCATAATGCAGAAGGTATATATATATTCATATTCATCATTTCACACCTATTAATAAGAAAAATATAAATAAATAAAATAAAAATTTATGATTAACTTTAGATATTTAAATTAAACTATTTTCAAATGGCTTTTTATAATGAATGTGAATGAATTATTTTAGCTCCACCCGCAGAGGCATTGAATAATTCCGGTAAAACCACTGCAAAATCTAACCAAGAATCAAAACTAATCAGTCTCCTACTTCAACAACTAGCGATGATACGTTGATGACAAAACCTGGTCAAAAATCAGCTAACGATAAATCCAGAAGTTACGAGAAAACACCAGTGGGAATAGTTGCAGATGTATTAGATGAAATTACGAAATTAAGCAGTTCTATTCCACCTTTAGTCAGGGCAAGTACTACAGGTAAATAAAATGGAATTTATCGTTACAATAACAAGAGGCTTAAGATTTTGTAGTTACTATTAATTTGAAATTCTTTAATCAATTATAAGCCTAATTAATATAGTCTATAAACCTAGTATAGGAAAGGTTTTCAAAATTATGTAACTTCTGTAGTTTATAATCCGTGAAATGGCTGACTGTCTATGAGGTCTTTACTAAAATATTTACTTACATGCCAAAGCAAATAATCAACTTTGGCTACTTACGACACCAGCATTATATATTCTACTAAATGATTTTTTTTTATTTGTTTCTTATAACCAATCTGAACCTTGGGTTCAAATGGGGAATTCCTTACATAAATATATTGATTTTAATATATCACTAAATGATTTACATACTTCTTTCACCAATTGCTTTTAAAAATATATAATTGTACTATTATGTAATATTATACACAAAGTCAGTAGAATGTGTCTTCCACTAGGTCTGAAAGCAGAATCAAAACAACAACCACAGGCAGCAACTTCCGAGGCTGAAAAACTCTAACACTGCGCAAGCTGGAGCTGACAGTGGTAAGGCCAGTGGTGAAAGTGAGCAACCTCAAGAGCCGCAATTGATATTTGAAATGTTGAGGATACATAATATTGAGAGAAAGGTAAAAGTCAAATAAAAAATAAATACTAGTGATGTGTACCATTCATTCGGTTCATAACACTTTTACTATTTGGTTAAGTTTTTAGTTAACTTTTAGCATTTTGTAAGAATATATTTTCTTTCAAGATACCTGCAGAAATTATAGACTCGGCTCCAGCTGCTAGAGCGTTGTTTAATCATACATACGAAATGTTGAAAGTTGCCAAAAGATATCACAACGTACGAGATCACCCTGAAGATTATGAGCATTGGGCATTGACACTTTGTGATTTATACGATTTTTTGTCGTTTTATGAACAAGATATATACACGTAAGAATTTTAAATAGAGAAATGAAATAGATGCAATGCATATTCATATTATCCTCTAATTTTATAATTAACTCAGTCAGTACGAGTTGCAAAGACGTCG